AAATTTTTCGAGTGGGTTTCACTTCTAAATAAAGATACAAACCTTTGAGAAGTTTTCGTACAACCTACATGGCGACGCCAGCTAAAGCCTTAGCATTGGAGCAAATAAGAATGCATCTTCTCGAAGAGTTTTCTACTAGAGAAATTGCATTTGCTACTGACGTTGAAAATCAAAGCAGCTCTAAAATAACTTTGTCGATTTCTAGCTCCCTGACTCTCTCGGATTCATTTTGTTCTCAATCTGCAAGCAATGAATCTCCAATTTCTATCTCTTATTACTCTACAATTTCTCCAATTTTTCAAGCTCCCGATCCTATTTTTTCAAGCGAAATCAAGTAATAGATTTCACAACACAAAAAGCTCTAAATTCTAATAATTGGAAGCCTTCACTAAAGATCAAATTTCCAGCTGTCGAGAAGCTTGAATAGATCGATGTATCAAAGTCAACTCGGAAGCACTCAAGCTTGGAGGAGAATCTGCATTATAGAGGAGTCCGACAGCATCCGTGGGGCAAGTATACGGCAAAGATCTGGGACCCCAATCAGCGTAGCTCGCGTATCTGGCTGGGGACATTCGATACTGCCATTGAGGCTGCAAAAGCCTACGACAAGGTGGCTTTTGAGTTGTGCGACAGCAAGGCGATTGTGAATTTCCCTCTAGAGATACAAAGCATGGAGTTTAGATCGTGCGCCCCCATGGAAGTCGGACGGAAGCGGTCCAGCGAAGGAGAGAGGCGGAAGAGGAAGCCGCACTAGTGGAACTAGAGAAACTGAGCATGCCACCGACTTATTATCCACAACTATTGGTGATATGAACGATAAAATGATATTGTCAATCTCCTTTTTTTTTTAATGACCGCGGGTGTCTGAACCGTTGATAATAAGTTTATAAATAGATCAGAAATTAGCAACCGTAACTAAAATAAAATCACTTTAGTTTAACTGACATATTTGTTGGAATACCGCAACTAAATTAATCAGTTGGTGATGACCTAAGGTTTCTCGTTTGAAGAAAATTTACCTATCCTACTTTTGTATTAGAAACTTTTTTACAGAATTTTCTGTTATATATATATATATAGGGGTGAATTCAGGGGTCAAATTCTATTAGAGCAGACCACGAGTGTTGAAAGTTTACTATCGATAGTCAACATCCGTGATAATGTGATTTTTTATTAATATTTAATTAAATAATATTCATAAAATCGTACGGATTAGAACTAGATACACCACTAGAACTAGGTACGAACTTTTATTTTGGATGAAAAATCGTTCCATAATCTGCAAAATGTCCTAATTTATTTTTCAATTAAATAGACAATATATATTAACAAAATGTCAATATTCAGTTTACAAATAAAATTAATTAAACAAGCATTATTATATTAACAAAGTTGAAATTATTTATGTGCTTATATCAATTTTATGTGCTTGTATGAGCCACTTTTTCGAAATCGATTTTTTGTGAAAGAAAAGTGTAACCTTTTATTAATTAAATAAGTTTGTTGAAAGATTTTTTATGACACTAAGACCAATTTTCCTACAAATTCATTCACCATTAATTAACCAAACTTTCAAATCAATTGATTAGAGGGGGGAAAAATAAAGAAAAGAAAAGGAAAATCAAGAAAAGATACAAAACGCCAGTTAAAATGTTTCTACTTAGATTAAATTAGTAAAA